CTTTGTAATAACAATCAACTCTCTTTGTAATGACAATCAACTCACTTCGTAATAACAATCAACTCTATTGGTAATAACAATCAACTTTCTTTGTAATAACAGTCAACTCTCTTTGTAATAACAATAAACTCACTTTGTAATAACAATCAACTCACTTTGTAATAACAATCAACTCTCATTTTAATAACAATAAACTCTATTTGTAATAACAATCAACTCACTTTGTAATAACAATCAACTCACTTTATAATAACAATCAACTTCCTTTGTAATAACAATCAACTCTCTTTGTAATAACAATCAACTCTCTTTGTAAATACAATCAACTCACTTTGTAATTACAATCAACTCTCTTTGTAATAACAATCAACTCACTTTGTAATAACAATCAACTCTATTTGTAATAACAATCAACTCTCTGTGTAATAACAATTAACTTTCTTTGTAATAACAATCAACTCTCTTTGTAATAACAATCAACTCTATTTGTAATAACAATCAACTCTCTTTTTAATAACAATCAACTCTCTTTTTAATAACAATCAAACCTATAATAAACGGAAGTCATACCATTCTACTAGTTTTTTGTCTGATTGATAGTCATCTGGCTTACCCGCCTTCCCGTGTAAAGCCCTAGTATTCCCCAAATCTGAATTTTGTGATTGATTTTATTTTATTTTTAACTCGATTATAAAATTATGAACACATCTTCATTAGGGTTGTCATCAAGGATCAATCGGGAAGAAAGAAAGATCAATTGGAGAAAACTGCATCCGATTGACATGGAAACAGCAATGTTGAGAATGATTCTTGATTGACAACTCAAAACTCTAAAATGTTCATTATGAGAGTCGCCCTTGAGACAAGAAGCAATTGGATCTTGTTGCCATGGAAACAAAATCTTTTCAAAGATTAATTATTAACAAACAACTTAAATAACTATGTATGACTGAATTTGACTATGTGTGACTATGTTACAAAGACAATTGATCAGATTTTAGAAAACTTTGTCCTACAGAGAAAGACTCACATTTATTTTTGTCAAATCACATGCTTGAATCTAACATGACTATTGGTATTTTACTGACATTAAATTTCTTCTACGATCATAAAACCATGTGACAATGTCATAATATGTCAACTGAGCATATATTCTCTTTGCTATCTAACATTGCATATAAGTGAATAGATGAATGGTAAACAGAAATAATAATATAACCACGACAATAATTACAGGAACAGGAAACAAAGTTGAGCTTGAATCATTCCGACCTAATTTGACCTAAACTTGATTCATGTGTAAACATACGACGACCGAAGTCTATAGTTAAAGATCATGATCATGAAATCTGACCCCCAGAAGACATATATGGTTAAGCAATAATAATGAACTTGAGCATCACGGAAATAAAATAAACTTAAAATGACAACTTTACAATTCACTCATGGTGTTTATAAATATTCTTACCATGATAAACATAAATGAACGGTCAAGCACAAAGCTTATTATTCAAAATGTATTGATGTAAGCTTTTACACAACAAAAAATAGTCAATTAGAGAGATAATTATGTACATCCTTCCTAACTGCACAGAACGTTTAAATATACAAATTTTCATCATTTCCCATATTACCAATACTAAATAAATGTGGATATATCACAAACGTATTATATGGAATCATGCTTACTTAAAATACTTTTCACTCTTATTTCGCAACATTAAAACTAATCATAAAATAAGCTGAAGAGAAATTATCTGTTGATACACGCAAAGTATTCGCAAACGATCTTATTCATACCGGCATATGTATGATTCATTTTTTAGAGATTCCCTTCAAACAGTTTCACTGTGTATAACACGTTATGTATTTTAACATATACGCATTCCTCATATATGGATTAATATGAATTTGAATTACTGTTGTAATCAGGAGATTGCACATTAATGTAGTTCAGTTGAAATAGTCGATATATAATGTATTTTCATATACAAGGTTCACTTATATCTTCAGTACATAACGTTTTATAAAGAACCCATACTATGATGAAAACTCTGATGACTATAGTTTTATAAAATGTGATTAATAGCATTATACCAAAATGTATATTAATATTACATGAACTTTAAATGCATTTAATTGTCAGTATGTTTTGTCACTATTCTAGGGGGACTATAACCAAATATCTCATAATCTAAGTGGTAGTATTCCACTAATTGCTTCTTCATTTGCCATGGCAATGTTTGAAAGGTTTGGTCAAAATGTTCGTTTCCTTTTCGTTTGTGAACCTCTGGAAAAACTACAAAGTTGTTAATTCCTAGTACTTTGAGAGCAAAAGGTCCATCCTGAGCTAACATCTCAATGTGTCCGATGAATGTATAATTTATTTCACATATATGGGAATTTAAATATTGTGGCAACCAATGTCTCGACACTGGCAAAGGTGTTAGTCCATTTGAAATTACAATTTGTGCAAACTCCTTGAAGGTTATGTTCAATCTTCCGTGTTGTGTATTTTTGCTTTTTGGATATTGTTTCCTAATATCAAGAATCATAGATCTATATAGCTTTTCATATAAAGCTGATAATCGTGCAGAAATATGAAATTTACTATAATAACAAGAAACCAATCTTTCCAGTGGATCACGGACAAAAAGCACTTCTGTGTATTGTTTTAACTTCTGTAGTGATTGACAAGTAATCATGTTCGTCCCATTACCAATTCTGCATTTTTCACCAGTATTATGTAGAACACTTTGCCACATAGTAGATCCCACCTTAGGCACGAGTTGGAACATAAACTTATATTTTTCAGAGAAGAAAACAGATGCCCTCGATGTGCTATTATATGTTACATTATAACATCTACACGATTGTCTTGCATGTGTTATTCTGTCTTGGTTCGATAATATAGGACTGTATGTGTCATTGGTATTATTTCTTTCCCATTTCTAAAACAATAAACATATCAAATAAATCAGTATTTAAAAAAATAAAGATAGGCTTGCTAGCTATCAACATTAATAATAAAAAAAATAAAAAAGTATATGTTTAAAAATCCTGATTATGCATCACATTGAAGACAATTTAGAATACACAATATATATCGATCTGAATAGGTTGCAAATCGTTAATTCTGTTTTATTTTAACAGCATATTTGACATTTCTGATCCATGTTTAATCATAAACTGAATTAAGTATAAATGTATATTTATAATTACCGATCACAAATTAGTGTAGTTGTATTTGTTGATATAAAACATTTATAAATAATATGGTCAATAACAAAACTATCAAGAAAAACAAATTTAGTTCACGATTTGGTTCATACGTACGTGCGCTACTCCATCAGGTTTCCTCGCTGTGATAATGCGCCCATTTATGTTCCAACCTGAAAACATATTTATTTATTGTTAGATTAAACGTTGATGTTAAACTTATACGACTATGCATGTAATCCAGTGTGGTCCCTTTGTAAGGGAGCAATAAAACCTAAAACTGCCTAAATACTTATATTGTGTTGATTATTATTAACTCCAAGCGGCGGGAGACTTTTTTGGAATGGACTTATTATATCACTATGAGTGAATTGTAGATGCAATGTATGGTCTAAAATAGTTGGAAACAAATAAATGTCTTACCTTGTAAAGTGTTTTTATCCAAACTTGTGGGAGTGAGTGAAAAGGAGTGAGAGAAAAGTGAGAACACCAACGAAAAATATGCAATATTATATACAGACTTTACTATTACTATCATAAAAGAGTTCACATTGTTACCCGCTGTGCTTGGAGCAATTACATACACACGTTATACGTCACATGTATTTGCATATGCCATACTACCCCATTATTATGACGTATTAATAAATAAAATTATTCGAAAAAGTCGAAAAATCATGTGAATCATGGTTAGCGCAAGTCATATGAATAGCGATTTACAATAAATTAGACAAGCATCTATAAAAACAAACACTTCTGAATGTTAAGACCCACCTATCGTCACAAAATCTGTGGTATTGATGAAAGAAGATATTATTGGACATTTCGTCAAACAAATTTTAGAAACTGTTTATTAGTTCGAATTCTGTCCAAATATTCCCATCAGGTCTTAAATACGTAATATTCTGATGCCAGTGTATAGTAAAAGTTGTATGGTTCACGTCTTTCTCAACATCTTAATACACAACCTTGTTTACAGTATTTTAAATAGATATTTTCCAATATCGTACGTATTTCTTCCTTTAAAGCATGTTTTTTTTCAATTAATATGTCATAGCTGAATATTCAATGTGTCCTACTGTAAACAACACTTAACATTTAATCCCTCTTCCAGTGACAGGGTTGCCTAATAAATTAATGCATACGATTCTTCCCAAAGTATTAAAAAGTGTACGTCTTCGTAGTTACAACGTATACTACTGAATAGCACTATGTACCCTAATGATAACGTTTAACTGTCAACATTACATTTTGTCAACTACAGTCTTAGTGGTAAATAACATTCAGTCAGCAAACTTGAGAAACGTGGCTGGTAAACAAATGCACACCTACTATTTTTTATTATAGATATAGAGATACCAATTTCCTAACTTGAATTCAAACTGTTCTATACAACTGTATGCATAGTAGCCAAGAAATCTGCCATCTGCTTGTTGTTAGTGTTTTGTCTGACACCTGAGTAGTTTGAACATTATTAATATCTCTTAGTTTTTACATTGTACTGCTCTCTGAGTTGCTTGTGACCGTTCTAGTTGAAATTTCACATTGGTTTATCTGGTGTATCAAACAACGCTTTAAAAACACGTATAGCACGATATAATGATTAAAGAGCTGACTACTTAATATATACAAATTTCACCTAGAGATAAATTATTACAATACCTGGGGGATATCGCAAATATTGCCAACAATAATGATAGTATTACCAGCGGTATATATCGCACTGCTCCCATCGTGGCCATTTGAAGAGTAATATATATATATATATATATATATATTGAGCAAATGGCATAATTCAAGCCTGCCAATCGCATTTGATTATGACGCCCTGATACCGTTGACTATCGAAAAGAATGGCAAGCTACAGGGTCTTAAGTCCATAAATAATAAACTATGTAGCAGATGGGTTATTATTTTTTTTTTCAAACAATATTATATTATGTGTGCATTCGTTATATTATAATTAATCACGACTATGTACATTCGATATGTTTTTACCACAGTCAAATGGCATACAAATGAATAATAATGTTGGTCAAATGGATAATTTGGTCGTGAACAGTTGGTATTTTTTTTTGCCTGATTTTTATGAATGTGAAAAAAGCGTTACTCAACTTGTCCCCTTTTTAGCTTAATGTCGTATCCTAGATGGCGGTCCCTAATAGTGAATATCGCATTTGGTTTATTATCCCTTATACGCCAGCTGGCTGTGGTTTTATCATAATAAAATTGTGAATATACATAATATAATGCACGACCAAGTGATACGTTTGGGCAACATAGTTTTTGTGTGGAAAGATCCTTTGCATACACCCGGCATACACCTAATTACACGAAGAACATACAACACTCAACATTTTATTTGAAACCGAAATTGTCATCTAACTGCAAGGCCGTCGCTGATTGGCTCATGAGTTGGAATGGCAATCTTAGTTTCAAATACCCCACTACTATGTACTACGTTTAAGTAGGTGTTCACATGCAAGGGATTGTTCCACATAAAAACAAAGACGCGGCCAACATATAGTAAATATCGCATTTTTTATTATCACTTGAACGCCAGCTGACAGTGAATAAAACTGTTAAATAATAACACATGTTTGTGAGGGTAGTGTAATATTCGATTTGTTGCCTGCCCAATGAATGGTGGTAATGACCATAATATAGATGATGCCAGAGCCACATCTACCAGACATCCACCATGCACAATTACATCTACCATACATCACTCACACCTGCTCTCCCACAAAATAACTACGCTTAATTTTTTTATTTTATTTATTTAATTGCCATAGATTACAGGTAGTATAAAGAACTAAACATATATGACAAACAAGAGAGAACATTTTGAAATAATAAATATTACAAAAAATGAATGAACAACTGATCCAAGGCTGGGGTAACAGAAGATAGCAATCGTAATGCAAGGCAAGTCTGTTCCCCTGTATAATATTATTTCAATGAAAAAAAAATACAAGGGCGTAGTATTCACCTAACACAATTGATTATTAAAATAAATAATACACAGAACTTAGATAGGTGAAATACAGAGTAAATAAATAAGGAAATAAATAAATTAATTAACCAATCAATTATTCAAACTAATCAATCAGTCGACCAACTAATTAATCCAACCACCCAACCAACCAATTAATCAACTATTTAAGCAACTAACCAACCAACCATTTAATCAATCAACCAATCAATTACCCAATATGCCAATCAATCAACCAACTAAATAACAAATTGGTCAACCAATCAACTAACCAATAAATTAATCATTTAATCAACCAAAAATTGCAAACTTATAGTGAAAATAAATAAATTTTGAGTTCTTTTTTGCAACTTGCACGACTGGGTAGAGCATTCCATAGTTTTGAACCATTATAATCAATTGAATATTGGCCTTTAATTGTTCTCTTTTTGGGAAAGGAAAAGTTAGAATTGGTTACAGATCGAGAGGTATAGTTGTGGGAATGAAAAGAGAAATAGTCTAAAAGATTACGAGAGAACTTTGATGCCGAAGATCGTGAATAAAGGTGCATAGCTGATATTTGAACAAATCATAGATAATAAGAATTTCTAAAGAATAGAACAGAGGTTTGCTGTGAGTATATTAGTCTTTGAATAGAATAATGCGTCTTAGTTTTTTCTGTTGTTTATAAATTGGAGTAACTGTAGAGGGAAATGTATTTCCCCAGACTTCAAGGCCATATGAAAGATGCGGAAGAATAAGGGCATTATACAACATAATGAGCACACATTTTGGGAGATAGTGGCGAAGCGTGCTGATTAATTCGATGATAGGGGATATTTTGTTAAAAATATGCTTAACATGTGGTTTCCAAGTGAGGTATCTATCCAGAACAACGCCAAGATACGTTGTTTTATCAATTTTGTTTAGTATGGCATCATTCATATGGATAGGCTGATTGTCATGAGTTATTTGAGTTGACAGTTAATTTGTTATCATTACACCATTTGTTAACCAAAGACAGATTGTACTATATCTGGTACAGGAATGGAATGTGATGTTAGTGTGTGAAACAAGTTACTCGCACTCGTCCCATCGTGGCCATTTGAAGAGTATATATTGCATGTATATATTGCGCAAACAGCTTAATTCAAGCGTACCAGTCTCAATGGATTATGAATCTCTGTTACCTGTCGACGAACGAACTGCATACAGATTGAGAGATATTACCAAAAACGTATATCCATAAAATGTATGTTTTATCACGTGTTTGTATAGAGCTGTGATGGATGTATTGATTGTATATCATCAACATTTCCATGGGCACAAACCTTGAATTGGAAGAAGATGCTACCAGCACTACATTTATTGTTTGACTGAATAAAATGGTAGAAATAATTCTAAGGTAGTATGTGGATCGAAATTGTCTTTTTTCTACGGTCCAGTCAAATAAGATGTTTCATATCATGCATATGAAATTTGGATCATAATTACAATTATTTCGGCTAATTACTCGCCTACCTGTCACGTTTTTGTTGTTTGAATTGCCCCATTGTGGTGAAACCTAATATATTACAATAATAAAACCATATATACCATACATTTTTCTTTGTGATGTTAACATATCCTGAAAGATTCTTTGGTTGCGAACTTGGGATAACCCTGCTTAAAATATGACTTTATATGTTGTGTTATGCAATATACATATCCAATACGTATCGTGTCCAGTTGGTCCTTGGTTTTGTCACTGGAGTGAAAATACTTAGTGTTGGCATAAATGACTTGTGGTTATCTAGCATTAGCATAACTGATGAACATTACACGGTCTCCAGGCTCTGCAAACTCATTGTCATCTGCATTACTAATCATGCACCCAGGTATGCACCGCATTGTCATTGGCTTTACTTAGCATACACAATCATTCATATGCAAATATACTTAGTCTAATATCATTAGTTCAGCACATATGTGCAACGTAATCCCAACGCACTATACACATATTTCCAAAATACATTTCCAACAATCAGGTAAGTTGCAGCATTTTGTTAATATTTATTTGAATGACATATTTAGGGATATAATCAAATGATTGTGAAATTTTCTTCCAATGTCGTGAATCAAGAAATTGTAAAACTGAATATCATGGCAACATTCCCATTACAAATACTGAAAGTGATATAGTACATTATGACACCTTTAAGTATTTGGGGAATTTGTCAACTATTTTGAGACCAAAGAAATTAGGACAAAAAGTCATTGACTCCAAATCTTGCGATGCATTCAAATTTTAGAAAGGTCGTTGCTTAACCGTGAAAATATATTCTCAATCTGCAGCTGTTCAAACTGCCCCGTGTTGGCCTAGAGGTGAAATTTTGTATGAGAAAATCCAGCACCCACCATGTTGACTGTTTCACTAGTAACTACATGTTTATAAGCGCCAGATGATGAGAATGCCACCAAAGACACCACTCTACCAGAGAACACTTCGATTTCGCCCGCTCTATGCAGTGTAAAGATACTCGTAGCTAACCCATGTGAATTATCATTGCACAGTCACCACGTACACAGTGTATAAAATGGCGTACTTTTCCAACAGCGTCGTCAGGCAACTGTGTTAGGCTGCTTCATTACTGAATTGTACTGGTGAAAATGTACCCCAGCATGTTCTTAATTAAGACTCAAAATTGATTTTGATGAATGAAGCTTGAAGGAATCTATCCGTGTAAAACATGCACATTTTGATGAATGAAGCTTGAAGGAATCTATCCTTGTAATACATGCACATTTTGATGAATGAAGCTTGAAGGAATCTATGCTTGTGAGACATGCACATTTTGAAGAATGAAGCTTGAATGAATCTATCATTGTAAGACATGCACATTTGATGAATGAAACTTGAATGAATCTATCCTTGTAAGACATGCACATTTGATGAAAGAAGCTTGAATGAATTTATCCTTGTAAGACATGCACATTTCGATGAATGAAACTTGAAGAATCTATCCTTGTAAGACATGCACATTTTGATGAATGGAGCTTCGAGGAATCTATCCTTGTAATACATGCACATTTTTGATGAATGGAGCTTGAAGGAATCTATGCTTGTGAGACATGCACATTTTGATGAATGAAGCTTGAATGAATCTATCATTGTAAGACATGCACATTTGATGAATGAAACTTGAATGAATCTATCCTTGTAAGACATGCACATTTGA